CAAGAAAACACAGACAGACAATTCGATAGAATCAGGAAAACCATGTACAACGGAATATTATTCAGCCATAAAAAATGAGGAAACCTGCCATTTGCAATGACATGGATGGACCTTGACAGCATTATGCACAGTGAAATAAGTCAGACAGAGAAAGACAAATACTGTGTGATCTCCTGCATTTGTGGCTTGGAACACTTCCTTACCAAGAGATAGAGAGCCCACAGAGCCTGGCCTGTGCTTATTATCTGGTGTGGGAATATCTCCGAGTTTCAGCTCCAAGAATGCTCTTTTGTCTTCGCTTGAAGTATGTGCATCACAAGGACACCTGGCCAACACTGGTGTTCTGTCTGTCTGGAGAGGACAGGACCTTTCCACTGTAGCACAGGTGGGGTAGGCAAATTGCCCTGCATTGGCCATTAGGACACACCCACTGCCCGTGGGGGACCACACCCACTGCGGAAGCTGATGGCTTCTCCATTCAGTGCTTGCTTGGGCTGTGTTCCTGGTGACACCCTTCCATTCCTGGTGGCCAGGACTGTGAAGAGCTTGCTCTCTTCCATGTGGTTGGGCTCCTCCCCAGCGACTGGTACCCAGTGCACAGTGCCTTACTCTCTTGGAACTGATACTAGTGCAGGGCAATCTGCTCTAACATTAGGAATCCAAATATGTGAGATACAATCATCTTCAGGTTTACAAAATAAGATTGATAAATAAAAATGGAAAACGAAACTGTAAGGATTACTTGTGAATTTCCACAAGGAGAAAACGTAAAGTATGTCTAAAAGGTACTGTAGTCTTCCATGGATAACACCTTTTATTCTTGTTTAAAATGTCCTAATTGTACGCTTACTAGGAAACTGTGTTTCCCATATCTCAGAGTCCTCCTAATCGCTTCTCGGAAAACATTGTGGCAGGCAGTCTTTAGATTCTAGTCCAGAAATAATCTCACTTGTAAAAAAAATAATGTAACTTCAACCTTATCACCTACCCACTTATTCTATGAAATACATAAAAGGTTTTTTCAGTCAAAAATCCCAAATAACTAGACTCTGGATATTTCAGAGACTCAAGTTTTACAGCCTGATCTAGCCCATGCTGACTATGTGATTTGGGACAAGTTGACAGTGTCTCACAACGCTGAACAGTTGCTGGACACATTTATTTTAAAATATGTAAAATGTAGAAAAAAATTTAATCTCATCTGCTCACCAACTAGGGGTAACCATTATTAATGTTTTAGAATTCTTCCTTTTAAAATCTTTATGGGTTTCTTTTGTCTTTACTATTGTTTTAAGCTACAAAAGTAACATGCAATATTCTTACTGGGAGAGATTCAAACTATATGCAAGTATCTCATTATTATTCTCAGTTTACAGATGTGAAGCCTGAATCACGGAGAAGTGAAGCACCTTCCCAAGGTCACACAGCTCATAACCTGCGCTGGAATTGCAAGTATAGGAACTGTTACAAAATAGTCAAGGGGCTGTAAAGTACAGCGTAAGAAATATAGTCAACAATATTGTAATAACTATGTACAGAGCCAGGTGGGTACTGGGAATATAGGGAAAACACTTTGTAAAGTATATGATTGTCTAAACACTATGCTGTCCACCTGAAACTAATACAAAATAATACTGAATGTAAACTGTAATTGAAAAATAAAATATAAAAGAAAACTTAACCCTAACTCAAAACCTAATTTTTAAAAAAGAAAAAGAAATACAGGAACTATTTACTTATTGAAATGAACTCTAATAAGAATTACTATTATTTACTTTTCTTATATTCATCAATTATTTAAATGATATAACCCTTAAAGAATTGCAAACTCATAGTGCTGTCTGGAATCAGCATTAAAAAAATCAGTAGAATTCTAAAGAGTTCTGGATAGAAATTCCAAGTATATACCACAACTACAACCAAAACAATGTTTTATTTAGTTCAAGAAGGGCTTACTTCCTGTGGGGTCATTTATAAATAACCATATCATCTGAAGACCAATATTATAGGTTCTAGTGAAATTTCTACTACATATTTTCAATACCAACTGAGAAACATATGCTTTATATATATAAGTGTGTATCAGAGTAGAAATATTTATAATGTTTACAATCTGACAATGCAAAAAGTTAAACTGGATCAGAATAAATCTTTTTCAAGGTATTTTTGTCTTTTACTGTAAAAGAAGAATTTGGAAAAGGTATCAATCAGAACGATAACTTTGCAATGTTTCGATGAGTACTTTAACAAGAACAAACCAAATCTATACTATCTACATCTACTGTTTATAGATTTTTAACTCCTCCAAAAAAGATGTACTTTTTCAGTGTTAGTGCTTCAAAGAGGCACACCATATTATTTTATTATATATGGTCATATCCATTCATTAGTCTACTAAGTTTTTCTTATACTTTAATCACTTATCTTTGACAAATGAAAAAATGAACATATACAATTCATACCATTTACAGTTATAACTTTCAGTTACTGGAAGTTATTAAAAATGATCTACAATAAAAATGAAATGGGAAGCAAAAAGGTCTAGGGTGTGTGCAGAATAAGAATTGTGAACGGTAGGACGGTGCTATTAAAATAGCCTTAGCTCTGATAAACAGTAACAACAGACAAAGCAGCTTTAACTGCAAATCAGTGTTCCTCTAAAATAAAAATAAGTACTGCAGCATCAACCTGAGCTCTTAGCCAAAGGCCGAGTTGATGCCTTTGTCGCACGCGCGCGGGTGCGAGCTCACGTGGACAAGGCTGCTCTCTGCTGCCCGCCACCACCATGCCACATGCACAACAGAAACGAGATCTCACGAGCGAATGAAAGATTAAATGAACAAGTGCCACTACATTCTAAAACGGAGATTTTTCACCTTTGTGTATATACACTAAAGAAAAACTTTTCTAATAATCAAGGTAAATTTCTATATAATATAGCAGTCTTTTAGAAAAATGGAATTATTTCTGGACTAACTGGGTCTAACTCTATTCTTAGATTCAAAAGCAGTAGCAGCTCCCCACCCCCACCCCAAGAATACTTTCCTTTGGGAAAATAGGCAGCTTGCACTGTTTACTTTGAAGTTCAGACCACACACTAACTCTTTGCTTTCAGACCAGATTACACCTGCTCTCCAGGTGCTACACTGTCAGGATCATACATTCAGTCAAAATGAAGGCATCACTAACATAGGGAATGGGGGAAACAGGTCCATGGGGGAATTTTATTAAAAATCTAAAACAGCTTTTTAAACTCTAAGTAAAATTTGGCATTTTTGGTAAAGACCTTTAAAGCCATAGTGTTACTTGGTTCAGTAAATGATTATGTTGTACGTACATAGAAAACTATAGAAGTTTCAAGGTTCTTTCATAATCTATGAGTAAGCATTAAAAGATACTACACTGTTTTACACAAACTCCCACTATCCCACTGAAAAAATCTTTCTGAATTCCAACTGCCCTTGCTGTCGACAACTTAATGCCTAGTACTCTAAGTATTTCAAATGCCTAATCTAGGCTATAAAGTCTTTAAGAACAGCCTGCGTCTTGAGTTATACCGTCTAAGCCCTCTATTTCCTGTAGAATATGCTACAACATATGGACATTGTAAGTACTAAACAAATATTTGTCAATTTACTGTTATTTAAAGGGATCATCTCTTCCTGTAGAGATATAAAATGCAAATCAACAAGCCAATTAAAAATGTATAAAATTACAAAAGAACACAGACAAAGTAGGACAAAAGAGAAATTAAACTGCAATATATTGAATAAATGAACAAAGCTGTTAATCAACGTTTTAAGGAGGAAACAAATGTGTCGATGAGGACTCAGGAAGGGCGTCCCCTCTGAATCCCCGAGATCTGTCATTAATCAAGTTGGAGTACAAAATACAACTATTTGACTTAATGTTTAATAAATATTATAGTTCTGTTCTGACTTCATCTAATTCACATGTGGTGATGTGAACAAATAAGCACTGAGTCCTTGTGTAGATACAAAGACGATAGCCTGTGATGCTGTGGTACACGAATTCCTTTACATGTTCTGCTCAGCAACTCCACCAATACATTTTAACAAAAAGTAGGGGAGAGGGAAGGGCTACGGAACCTTCCCAGACAGAATTTGATACTAAGTTTGTTTGATCCAGGGTGGGTTTTTGGCCTTTCTGTAAGTGATTCCTATTTGTAGGCTTGGGGAAGCGAGAAGAATGGACTTAGCCAGTTCTCTGGGAGTTAGGTAGGTATTCTGAGCTCAAGTAAGCTTTCCTTCTTAAATCACTTTCTTGGGTCAGGTACCCTGGGAACCTTGCTCCCATTAAAGTTCTTATCACTCTGTAGTATAATTACCAAAGTTCTTAAATATCTTTCCACCTGGACTATAAGGTCCTCTGGGGAGGGACTACACATCGCCCGAGACATGGTGGGAACTCAATATTTATTGAGTAAATCAACGTTTTCCACCTAAAAACTGCAAAATAAAACCTAGCGATAAGTCGGGCCTAATCAATTTAGTGAACAAATGGAGAAGACAAATAAAATCTAGTATTTTAATGTGCATGTTTAAATTTTATATCAAGAGTCAGAACCTTTCCTACCCAGTGCCTATATAGTAGCTCATTTTCAAATGTGACTGGAAGATTTCATTATCCACATTCTCCAAAAAATCTACAGAGGAATTTCTACATGTTCTGAGACCTAAATCTTACTGTTTCTTTAAATCTGTTTTTACTTAAGAAGAAGAAAGCATATGAAACTACTACATTCTATTTTCTTATATTCCTATCACTTTAAAACAGCTGATTTTTCCTTTTTTCAAAAAAAAAAAAATATTGGCTAACAATAAAATTCTGAAAATAGAGATTCATGACAGAAACTGACTCAAACTAAACCAGAGCAAGGCTATTATAAAAATACGATGTTCAGGTTCCAGCTACTTAATTTGGCTCACAATTGAGAATAAGAGTATTTTTAAAATTAAATATAGTACAGTTTTACTCACTTTAAAACTTCCTCAAACGTATGCATTTTCTTTTGAGTGTCGTGTTTTTCTTTATCAAGTTCACTCTGCAAGTCATGAACCTGCAGTGACGAGACGTGTAAAACTTATTAGAAGACCAGTAAAGTTTGCTCAAAGGACACATACAAACAATAGGACAGCAACCTTAAGCGCATTTTTAATATAAAGTTAGATTTCAATGTTTCAGGAGGGAGACTGGGTTAACCACAATCACCTGCCATCTAACCATTTCAATACTCCGCTTCCAGCACCAATTTTCTGGTCAAAGTGAATAACTGTTTGAATCTACCTGCATGTGGATTCCCTGTAAAATAAACTGATACGCACAACACTCAAAAAGGCAGGAATCACTTGGATGTTTTAAACAGTTACATATTAGCCAACGAACAGGGATCTCCTGAGATTCGGAAGAATACAGTTAGTAATGTGTCATATTACCAAACACACGGGTGACGGCAACAGTCCTCCCCACTGCTGGGGATGATTCATTGAACTGTTTACTGAGTTTGGGAGGAAGCCCCTCACCATGAGTGTCTGTTTCCTAAACGTGTCACCCTTTGATAGGTGTGATGGCAGCACGAGTAATAACAACTAATGAAAATTTTGCCTCACGGAAAACTTCATATGCAGGTGCAGATAAGCATACCCAGTGTGGACATCAATGGACCTAAAGCCAGGGAAAGGAGACTCAGGTACAGCTGGAGGGAGCGGGAGGCGCAAGAGAGCAGCCCCGGTGCCACACACACGGCCACCGAGGGTGCAGAAAACTAGCCATTTGCAGGGGTGCAGATACCGGCCAGCGACAGAGCTGCTGCCAGCCCAGGTGAGGCTGAAGGTGCAACTGCTGGGCACAGGGGACAGGAGAGGGGGTGACAAGAGCAAAACCAACGAAACACACACACCATCACAAACCTTCCCAAACTCTGAATCGGTGCTGGCCAAAAATACCTGTGGTTGGCTATTTACAATAGTTTGGCTGGAGATCTAGTTCACTCAGAAACCCTATGTTCCCTGACCCATTTCGACTTTTCGCCTCACCCTTGAAGGGTGTATCATCTGCTGAGATTTGGTGCTTGACACAAAGTACAGGGGCACGACCTTGCTTCTATCATATGTCTCCCAGTGTGGTCTCAGAGCTGCAGCTAAAATCCAGATCCCAGGAAATCCCCAAGAGGGTTTGGGGGTTTCTAAGAGGAGGGGTTTTCTCCACACCCACTCTCTGATCCTGGGAAACAATACATTCCCTGTGTGGGAAGCTAACAAGGAGGCGGCGGCTATCAGAGTTTCTGATGAGTCACTGTAGTTTACACGTCAGGACTGTGCCTCAATGTGCTGGGCTAGCAGGGGCTTCCCCTGTACTCACTGCTCAATTGTTTTCTGGCACTTAGAACTCTGCATGAAAGCATAATTGAAATTTACCCCTTTAAGTGAAACTTCAAAAAAATTAACCATTTTTGAGAAAACTCTATGTAAAATTACATGGTGGTTATGAGAGCAAGCTCTGAGTCAGACTGCATGGGTTTGTCCCCAGGCCTTCACAAGCTACTCAGCGCTGGGCCTCAGCTGCCTCATCCGAGACATGGGAACAACAGGGAATATGTAAAGAACTGTGATGAGTTAATGTTAGTCCATGTAAAGCTCCCACAACTATACTGGGGACATAATAAATGCTCGACAACTGTTAAAAATTATCATCGTTATGGTCTCAGACTAAATACTCCAGACACAAACATTTTCTTGAACACTCAAGGTCACTGTGCACACCCCAGATCACAGGGTACCACGATCCAGTGATTCCCTTAGATGGACTCGTTTGCCCTTTCAGAGCTGCTCAGAGTTTTGAGATCTTGCAGGTGCTTTTTAGCTTTCTCGAGTCACCCTTACCCTCCTGTCAACTGCTCAGCGGCCACTTCCCAAAGATGGTCAGTGCACTGGCTCAAGCACCTTGATCTAATTTATGCTTCTGAAACTGTAGGAGCCATTTGTCTGGCAGGAATGGGAGGGGGGGACTTCCCTCTGAATTAGATGTTCGAGAGTCAGAGCACAGACCTTTGAGCTGGGGGCTCCTGAGAGCGCGAAGCTGCTTCTCACTTACTGTCATATCCCCAGCTCGCAGTCAGTACCTGCTCTCACTGCAACAGTCCACAAGTGCTGCTCCGGGTTAGTCTGTCTGTTTGTGCTTAATTGAATATATCTGCATCGTATATTTAAGGGCCTTTTGGATTATATTTCTAGTTTTCACCTATGTCTCGGGTAGTTTTGGGCAATGGAGATAATGCCCCCCTTTTTTATGGGAATGAAGAAGGCGCTTGAACGGATTTGCTTGTAACCCTTTTCCCACTACACATTGTTAAGATCCAAAATGAATTTAAATACTTTAAATAATGAAAAGCAAACAAAAAAGTCAAGGACACAGCACATGTTCTCCAAAGTGAGAGTGCTGTGATTTAAATTGTAAATAATTTAAGATTTAAGTAGCCGTAAACACTCTTAGTGAACATTTACTAAATGTTTACTTTATTCCCTTTCACCCTAAGAATTTAAGCAGGAAATGCATTCTTGTAGAAATAAGATGCAGAGTCTGCTACTTATAAGGAGGCAGATGAACTGTGGCGGACCCCACCGCACAGCGCAGAGCACTGAGCAGTGGCTGCCCCCGCGTCAACGAGCGGGGTGACGCCACCGCGCCTCCCAGCTGCTCCAACCTCGACTTCCCGGCATGAGAAACAGGGCTAGGCTGCGGGCCTTCTATAAATCGTCTCGCTGCACAAACTCATTCCTGAAGGCTTCACTCAAGGCACGTGAAGGCTTCACTCAAGGCACGTGTCCGCTTAAAGAAAATCATGCCAGTAGTAGTTGGAAAATAGTACACAATATATTATATGTAAGGCTGTGGAAATTTTAAATTATTTTTAACCTAATTAAAAGAATTATATACACATGCTAACCACTGGAATAACTATGTTAAGTGGCTTTGAACCTGATCAGATGGTATAGCTCATTTGTTACAGAGTTACATCACAACTATTATAAGTAGGTATTTAATTCTAGCACATTGTTGAATCTACGTGCTTAGCATCTGTCTCGTGAGCGTCTTTAGGTAAACACCACCATCTTTCCCTCTCCGGCGCCTGTTTGGAAAACAAGCAGTGGGTTCTTTGTAGGAGGCAGGTGTTTCCTTGCTAGTAAACTCATTTAGCCTAACCATTTCCTGATTTAACCGATTAGGACACTTCATCACACAATGACATTCAGTTTTACTACCTATTATTTGTTTGATGTTCAAAGATCTTAAGAGCGGGCAACAGCCACCAGAGATCAATAAAGACCCCGAGATAATGTGTGCACCTAAATTAGGGACGGCACCTGATGTGTTTCTCTCACCTCAAAGACAAGCGAGGCCCTCTCGTGCTGCTTTCCTACTGGCCTGAGGAAACAGTGTCATTCAGATGGCATTTCCTCCCCCGAACAGATACACAGGACTCAGTTTTATACCCAGTCAGTGAACGTGCACACCTGTCACACCTGGAACACTGTCTAGCAAACAAAAGGCCTACACATCCCACTTCAAGATCCAGTTTCACAGTCCAGGGCTACGGAAGATTTATGTCAGCTCTCTGAGCAGTCAAAAGGGATATTCCCTGAGGGGGGCACAAGACATCAAATCTTCAAGGACAGAGATCACAGCAGGTTTAATACAGGAAGAAGAAAGATGTCAATTTAAAAGGGGGAGATTACAGAATTAACTGTAAAATAAAAAGGGACACACCGAGCAGCATTTTCCTTCCATTATAAATAATGTGGGAATGTGTGCAATATGAACAAATGGGCTATTCTTGTAAAAGCTGCTATTATTTAAACGTGTCTTATTTACACTGCAAACAATTAACACACTTTAACTAGCTCCATTACTGAAAAGCTACGCCGCGCGGAGAGGGGAAAGCTGAAGCCAGGTGCCCGAGAGTGGATCTTGTTCTGCTCCCTGCAGTGAGTGACAGGAATGGGAAGGTGGCAGGGTACAGTGAACTGAGCTCTAACCCACTGTTTCTTGTTTGTGCCCCGCAGGCGGAGGGGCTGACCCAGTAACCTCAGCTCACCTGGTGGGGGAGACCCTCTGTCTGTCTCACAGGTACACAGATAGCACCTCTCGGGGGAGGACTGGCCTCAGAGTGTGAGGCCAGGGGTGGAGGCGGGAAGGTGCTGCTTCATGGACGGGAAGCCAGACGGTGCCGGAGAATGAACAATGGACTAAAACGTGCACCAGAGGACGTGGCTGCCTCCTACAGTGCGGAGCAAGGCTTATCAGAATGTACGGCCTTCCTTTAGTGAGTAAAATATTTATGAAGCCTCACGGCTCAACAGCAGAAACTGAAAAACTTCTACATCTCAGTGAAAGCAACAGTTCCCTCTCCCGTTCAGAAACCATTTTGTAAACATAAAGTATATTTAAGATCTTGCATTGAGCTGCATTCAAAATGCGGCAAAAACAAAACAAAACTTCAGCGATAAGAAAATCTATTATAATCTTAAAGAGCACATACTCAGATCAATACACATCGGTAGAAATTCCCACTTTTCCAAATGACAGACCGTTCTTCCCAGACATGAAGCTCCTGGGAACAGAGTCTGTGTCTAGTTCCCCCCTCCTCCCCAACCCAGGATCTAGTACAATATTCGCCCCATGAAAGCATTTAATGACTATCTGCTGAGTCACTATATGGGTAGATCAGAGGTGACAGTACAGTTTTTTAACATCTTTGTGCTATAAAACCTGTATAATTTTCATTTGTATGTATTTTTAATTAGTTGAAGGGTTGACCTTTTTTGCATTTTCTGTTACCTGCGTATTTTACAAATGCCTTAATTTGGTAAATGTTAGAACAGTAAATAATTACAAATGCAGCAGCAAAATCTTTGCTGTTTCAACTACTTTTTTACTTTCTATGTTATATAGCAAACAAGAAATTCAGAACTGAAGTTAAGTCACAAACTATAGAATTCTGCATTTTATTGCCGAAGGTGTTAACAGTGTGTCAATGCCCCAGTATTTCTGATGACAAGGATATCAGCTTATTTCAGGAGAAATATTCACTATTCTAAATGACAAGAAACAACTATTAATCAATATTTTAGAAGACAACTCTTTCACTGTTTTATCATCTTTGGTTAAACATTTAGAGTTCTTAGTATATGTATGACACAACAAAATACAAATAACTCCCATGAACTGTATCATATTTTTTAAATGATAGAAAGAAAATATAATTTTAGAGTGCTATTATGAGAGGTTAACATATAGAATATACTCTTTGCTCATTAAATATAACATATAAGTGGTTTTTTAATGTTGATATAACTAATAAGAGAACTGAAGCTGTTTATAAACAAAAAATTAAAAAGTGAAATTTGATTATTGGCTAGCTGAAATAATCTTAGAAATAAATTATTCTTAAGGGCTAGAAAGCATGTCTTTATAAAAATCAACCCTCATCCTTAATCATCTCACGTGCTATTTCAAGTGCAGCTTCCCACAAAATATATTACCTTTTTTTCATAGGTGCGTTTTAAATGACTTTTCTCCATTTGAAACTTATTTTCTTGATCCTGTGAATGATAAATATTTTGTTTTATTACACTTTAAATCACTACTAGAGTTAATAAAATTAGTAACCTAATGAAATAAATCTACTTGATGACAAACATTGAGTGTCGAATAAGAGTAAGAGCACCCAGCCTGTCCAATTTTCTAAACTACAAGTAGAAACATGATTAGCTTTAGGTTAGAGGTCATAAAACCCTAATTATCTAAAGAAATTACTACTCTTCAAAGTACGTACTTTACAGAGGAAGAGAAACTTTCTGACCCTCAGAATTAGGAGATTACTTAAAATGACCAACTGAATGAATATGATGGGAATGATGAAGTTATACCATATACCAGCCCCTGGCATTTTTTGACCATGAGGAAAAAGGAAAGATCTAAAAGGTGAGAGAGACTGATTGATTGATTGATTGATTGATTGATTATGAGGATTGGCAGATAATAACTCAAAGGAGGACAGTCATTCTTAGAACCTAGAGGGTATTGTGCTGAGTGAAATAAGTCAGAGGAAGCCAAATACCATATGACTTCACTTACATGTGAAATCTAAACAAAACAAACAAACAAAGGAAGCAAAACAGACACAGACTCATAGATACAGGAAACAAACCAGTGGTTACCAAAGGGGATGGGGTTGGGGGGTGGGCAAAACAGATGAAGAGGAGGGGATGAAGAGGCACTAAAACTTCCAGTTATAAAGCGAGAGTCACCGGGATGAAACGCCCAGCACAGGGAATTCAGTCAGTTAACAGTGTAATGGCTTTGTATGGTGCCAGATGGTAACTAGACTTATCGTAGGGGTCATTTCCTAATGTATATAAATATTAAATCACCATGATGCACACCTGGAACTAAGAGGATACATGTCAATTATATGTCAAATAAATAAACAAAAATAATATATTTAAATAAAATTTATTTTAAAATTAATTATCAAAGGAAAGATTATTCAAATTAAAATGATTGTTCTTTACTCTCTATGTCCCATTACATCATTATTTTTGTTAAAAGAAGTAAAATAAATAAGATGAAAAAATGATACAATGCAACAAAAGAATCAGAAATGGCTACTTACATTTTTAAGGGTTTTTTTACTCTTATTTGTACATATAAATCAAGAAAAAGAAAGGTGAGTTTTAGCCACTGTTCTGTGAAAAATGCAAGGCTCACCTTCAGCTGCTGCTTTCTTTGAAGCTCTGATTCCTGTAACTGCTGTTTTAACTGACAGATGTTCTGTTCCAATTCTTTAATCGTACCAGATGCCTAGAAGGATTTTAAAAATAATAATAAAAAAACAGAATATTGATTTTGGTACCATTTTACAATTTCTGGTCGAATAAATTTACCTTTTCCCCACTGAAGGTTCAATCAAAATTAAAATGATCTATAAACCTAAATTTAAATGTTTTTTAAAAAATAAAAATATTCATCTTTTAAAGTAAAAATATATATTAAATTCTGTGCTGTATTTAAAGTTATGTATGTATAATAGTAATGGAGAAATAGTTGGTTTTACAGGAAAAGAAAGTTTTACAGGAAACTTCTCAAATTTTACTTTTAAAACCAAATCCACTAGAACGTTTAATTCATAAAATACCACATAATTGACTATCTGAGAAGTAGCTCCGGGATTCTCTTTGCAGAAAGTGCCAATTCTTGGACACAAAGTGTATGAGTGCCCATGGGGTGTCTGTGGGCATAGGATGACAGGAAAACTACAATATAACCCAGATGTCAAAATAATAATGGCAATAATGCATATAGTTACCCCCAAAAATGTATTATTGGCACAACTAAGCATTTCTTGGATTTTAATGTTTCCTTTTTTAAAAACTTTGGTACAAGGATTAACTTATTATGGCAGAATTCAGTTTATTAAATATTTATGTCATGCCATATATTAGGCATTTATTGTATTTTAAGCATTTTAAATGCCAATAAAAGTTATTTCAGTTATTTCAAAAATAAAGCAAAGGAGACTAATTTCTAAATACCTTCTACATGGCTACCTAGGGCTATAAGCTACCTTTACTATAGGTAGGAAAGTAAATTACTACTTTGTATGTTACATATATATAAATTACTTTGTATGCACATAAACCAGCATATATATATAATACCTTAGAAGCTGAAAGTGTGTGTTCCTTTTTCAGAAGGTTTACATCAGTATCATACTTGGTTTGTAATAGTTTCAGGTTTTGCTCATAATCATTTATGAGATGATCTTTCTCTTTATGCAGTGTATTGCGCCTAAAAGCAGTAAGAGAATAAAATACATTCCCAATATACTTAAAATCAATTCCTACAATGGATTTTTTTAGTCAACCAAATCCAAATCCATTATCTTTCAATATATCAAATAATTATCTACATTTTTAATCAACTTTTTTTAAAGCACTGTGATTCTTATGTTAAATAGGACTTTAAAAAATAAATAAGTGGCAGTATTTAGGTTGGAAACCACCAAAGTTAATGTACAAGGTGTGATTAATTTTGGCAGATACTTTACAGAGTTAATATCAGTCCTTTACAGCCACACCTGAGACATCTGACTTCAGACAATACCTTGCCTTTACTTCTTGTAACTCACTACATGTTATCTGGTAACATCTCTCAAGTTCCAATTTTTCTTGCATTAATTTCTGCTTCTGTAAATTACTGTTCTCTGCTTCTCCAGTCAGCTGCTGGACACGGGACTCCAGCTCTTTGACCATCTGGTTCTGAAACAATAGGTCATTGTTAAAAAAGCCTCTCACTGATTTTGTAACACTTCAGTATCATTAAGGAGCCTGAAGAAAATATATACCCTATTAGAGATAAGAACAGAGAAAACAAATGTATCATAACCATACTAATAAAAATTAAACCAACCTCTAAATTAACCAAGTCTTTTTAAAAAGTGCTTTCTACTATAAAAGAAAGATCATCATGTGTATATGCTTTCAGCCATTCATTCATTCAGCAAATATTTACTGAAGTCCCTGTCCTCAGGAAGGTTACATTTTCTTCATGTAACTTAAGGAATTTATATTGTTAGCTGAGTACTTAGCAGGGTTTTTGCTCTTCATCTGAAGTTTTAGAAACTTCTAAAAATGATAAAAGCAATATAATAATATTTTTGAAAAGGCAATTCATAACCCAAATATTTTAATATCGGAGCCATGGCATGTGAAACATGTATTATCATACAGTGAATAGGAATGTTTTATTAACAGCTGCAATGTTAGTGAACATGATTTTCATTGGGTTTATTTTTAAACTCACCATCTTATCAGAAGCACTTCATTTTTCCAGTCTTCAAAATTATCACATAATTAAATCATTTCCCTATTGTTTGATAGTTGTTGTTTTGAATTTTTCATCTTTCTAGAACTAAATAAAGGAGTTTACGACTATGTACTCCATCTGAAATTGGGGTAAGCAAGCATTAGCTAGAAGGACAACTGATGTTTTTATTGAAGTATGATTGGCATACACTGCCCTACTTATTTCAGGAATGCATCACAGTGATTGGATATTTATATACATTACAAAATGACAGCTAATTTACATTTAACAATTACACTTCCAGTAAGTGTGAGTAATCAGAAAAGGTTATGATGATGTTCCAATTGATGAGTATATTTTCATACTCTTTCTAAGGTAACTACTTAAAGTTACATAATATTACAACCCCAACGCCTCAAACTATCCTTTCTTTATTACAATATGGATTAGGTACATAATTTAAATTTTGGTGCAATAGCTTCCAACTCTGAGAAATGGAAATAATTATATCTAACTTAAAAACATGACCTATATATAGATTAACTTTTTAAAATACGTACAATTCCCAGCTCAGAGCCCAACACACATCTGATGCTCAGACCCCTCCCTCTGCCCCATTCATCCTGCCTCTGTACTAACGGTCCCTCTGCTCAAGGGGCTCCTTTCAAAAAATAGCTTCAGTTTCCCAGCACATACTCTAAACTTCCATGTTCCCGAAATATTGTCTCACGCAAAATAAAGCAGGCACAAAGGAAATTAAAAGATTAAGACATAATGTCAAGGGAAAGCCTATAGACATATATCAAACACCTTAAGGACAGCATTTGGCCAAAATAATCTTTTTAAATTGAATACAAAGAACTGAGGAGATATAAAACACTAGAGGCCTCAAAAACGGGGTAAAAAGTCACTCAGGAAAAAGATGCTGATGGAGAACCCTAATTCAGGCTGTAACAGACAGTGTAGCAGGGCAGCTCAAGGCTACGTTAACAACAGGATCAGGGGGAGCACTGACTGCACAGTTAATGACCAACATTACCTTGGGTACAGAGACTGTGTTCCCATATTGGGAACTCACAGGTAGCACTCGGAAGACTAGGTTGGAGTTCTTGAGTGGACACGGCTTGTAAGCGGTAGTTATAATAGGCATTAGATTAGCAATTCAAGTTCTTGGTCATGGGAAAAAGGGACAAAGAGCAGTTGTGGATACAGAGCAGGAGGAGACAGGGAGAGCTACCGGCAGGTGCCCGGCAGGGTCCGGAATGCGGCAACAATGGGCTGGGCTCCTGTGGTAGCTGTGGAAACAGAAGGGAAAGAGCAGACCCAAGAACGTTTTCAGAGAAGTAAATAATATGATTAAGGAAAATACTAAATGAAGGAGATGACAAGTGGCAAAAATCATAAATCTTCCAGGTTCCAGACCTAATATGCCAAGAGACTGGCACATTGAGAATTAAGAGAAAGCTTAAGAAAGGATTCGTAGTGACATGCAGTAATCTACAGTCAACAAACCAGACAGCATTAGCAATACCTATGACTAACACATCACAGATATTTTTACAGTCTGTTCCAGTGTCAGATAATTACGCTCACATATCGTTTACCCTCATCACTATCCACAGGTTACAAAAGTTAAAAGGCCCCCTGCTAAATCTTGATATCTACTGCATTCATTTAGAAGCACGTCTATTACATAGCATGACTTTTACTAACATTTTGACAACTGTAACTCAATATAATTTCTTTTCTTTATAATCTTATATATCTTATTAAATTTAAAAATATTATTCTGGGAAGGTCTGAACAGACTTCACAAAATTGCCAGCGGGACCCATGATACAGAGAAAGATAAGAGCTCTCCTAAGAAACCCAAAAAAAACTCAATGAAGCCACCGCAGACTTTCAGTGCGTCTAACCCTGACATTGACAGAGCCCCATTATTTTACAGCCTTCACCTCCCCAAGAATCTAATAACCTCACTATAATTTTCATATTTATAAGTTCTAATGTTGTTTTAAAAGTCCAGTTTCACATGCTTAAATATGAGTTTCGCACAAGAGAATCCTTGCCGATACCAAGAGTCTCAAATCTAATAACCTATCCAGTGTCTGCTTGCAACAAATAGCACTGAAACAAGACTCAGCAGCAGAAGAAAAAAAGCCTGGAAGAACAACAAAACCGAGAAACTAATTCTCGGTGACAGTCTCGTCTTTCATCTTGAGCCTTGCCTTGAACTCTACCTTGTTTAATTATTAAACCAGGAGCTGCTCAGCAAGGGCTGCCTAGTTTTGATGATTCCTAAATTCGATCCTGCTGACAGACTCTGTCCATTTTCCTCTGTATTTACTATTATCTAATGACAAGGTCTGAATGCTAATTATGAAATTCAACTTTCATTAAAAAATAGAGTGAAGTTTTTCAGACAGTGACCTCTTGGCTCCAAAGTGTCACTTTTCTTTACATCTCAACTTCATAAAAATTAAAAATGCCACTGTGAGAGATAGTACTCTCTTAATATTGTTTAATAAATAAATATATAACAATGCAGTAGGTATATTAGGCAATCAACATGCTCCAGAAATTTCAACTTTACAATTACTTCATATATTTAATTCACATTTGTGAAAACTTAGGATGTTGAGATGACAAACTTGCATTTCAGATATAAATTTGGGTTTTGTTCATGACTTTGAATGTCCTCATTATGCTGATTATCCAGAAAATAAACTCTTGATATTTCCCCCAATAAACCTGATCTGCCTTCAGCCTTCTCCATCTCACCGACCTGCATCACTGTTTACCAGTCCTCACCCCCGGATGGACACCCGGGTCCAAGCCCCCACCTCTCTTACCTGGACAACTAACTGGTCTCCCTGCTCCTACTCTGGGCCCCTACAGTTTGTTCTGCACAGAGAACCAGAGATACAAATCACTGTGGATCTGCTCCCCATGTTTTAACCCTGTGAGACAGCCCTAGAGCTGGTCTCGGGGTCTGGGAGATATGCCTGGGTAACTGACTCTGGTTCAGATTCCACAGCTTTAAACTCAAGGCTGTACTTGGACCAGCCAGGCTGGGCTGCTGGGCTGTGCGTGGTACCTGAGGACCAGGTTCCTGCCTAGGACACAGGCTCTGCTATTCCATGAGGTCGCGTCATGTCAGGAATAAGGCTGAGCAGGTGCCCTTGCCTCGGGTGTGAGGAGCCCTGGCCCGAGAGCCATGAGCCTGCCTGTTCCAGGCCTGTGCTTCCAGAAGTCAGCTGGGCTTCTAACATGCTGGCGACATTCAGGTGTCTCCTCTGGCACTAGGGCTCTGCGAGGAGCCCTTCGGAGACCCTGCACCCTCCCTGATCTCTGCTGTGGCTCTAGTGACCTCCTCTGCGTCCTCACAGGAAGGGAACTTTGGTGTTTAGCCATGTGGTGACTGTGTCCAGTCCTTCCATCAAGATGAAGCTTCTAAGGTCTGTTGTAAAGTGGCCACACTACTCCTACTTCCCCATTTTCTTTCCTTCACATCAGTATTAAATATTTTCAGAAAAACAAGCAAGTTAGAAAGAATGAAACAAACAGAAAGAAAGAAACAAATTATCTCGAGACTGAAGTCAGTGAAAAAACAAGAAGAAAGATCTGTGAAGGTTTCTGGAGTTAAGTAGAGGGGGTATCGAGGCATCCAGGGTGAAACCCACGCCGACCTCAGTGCCCCTTGCCACTGGCACAGGCAAGCCTGCATGTGCAGGAGGCAGGGGGCTTTCTCCTGACCTGTCCCCCATTCACTCACTGCACACGGCAGAGCAGGATGACACGAGGAGAGAGGGCAGTCTCTAAGGGCAGGGAAGAGGAGGGACGCACTGTGCACTGGGTCTGCGCCAGGTACTCGCCCTCCATCCTGCTGAGCCGGGCGTTGGTGTCCTCCAGCAGCGCCTGGATGCCCTCCGTGTGCCGCCGCTGCAGCTCCAGCTTCTCTTTCTCCATGTCCGCCACGGCGCCGTGGAGCTGCACGCGAGACAAAGCCGGGCTCTCATCACAGTCACAGAGTAGGCTAAGTGCAGCTCAGAAACAACATGTTCCTGCATTTCCCTATGTACGTATATGCTGTCCCAAACAGCAGACGATACAGAACTCACAAATAAACATTCGAAGGAAAGGTAGCATATAAAAAGCACGATTAAGAAATGATTTTTTCCTTTATTTTCTTGAATTGGAGAGTTTAATGGATCAACAAATATTAAAGGGGATTACCCACTCCTGGCATCAACGGTAAACACGTAGACAGATAATCCACTGCCTCAGCTTACCTTTTTCCCCCAGTCGTTATTCAAAAACTCTGTACTTTGCTCACATAGCTTTTTCAGCTCTGTAATTTGGTTTTCTTTAGTCTCTCTGATAACCTGACAGTCACGTACAAGGGTCTGAACTGTCAAAAATGATAAAAACACAGTTAAACCAATTCTAGCTACATGAGTCTGATGATAAAAAATACAGTGCACTGGGGTTAGATGATTCCATTTTCACCAAGTCTCATCTCCCTCTTACAAAATACCTTATTCTTTCCTCTCTTTTCTCCATTTCTATCAAGTCTTGGTTGAACCCACCATGCCTCACCCCCTAGACAGCCTCAACTGTGTGCCAGCCTCGGGATCATCCCCTCCAATGGGCGCGCTGTTGCTCAAATGCCTTTCTACAATGCAAACCCCGTGTTTCAATCTGTCCCTTCACGTGAGGGTATCCACTCTAGCTAAATGGTTTTGCAGCATCCTTCCAAAACTTCCCAGTATCAGCATTCCTACTACAGCACCTAGGAATTTTTAAAGTCCTTTCCCCAAAAATGTTTCAACACTCTCTCTAGTGGCTGCCTCTTGCATTTTGATGTTTCGACCTATAATCAGTCAGTTTAACACTTGATCACACACTTCCTCTTCCTTCTTGATGGAAGTGTAGGTGGGGAATACCTTTTAAATGCTTGTTCTGTCACTCACAATACTGGCACATACTACAAGGCATAAAGTAGACACTTAATGGAATGAATCTGATTAGATTAAGAGGAATAATTTCCCTAGATTTCTCTGTGAAAGCCAGGGAATTCTAATTCTGTGACTGCCCTGTGGCAGCCCAATAAGGAGGCAGAGTTAAGAGCTAGTAACAGTGACAGACTTTTCCAGTTCCTTAACCAAACCAAGGACGCTCCCCCCTACACACACACACACAGACTACAAAAGGTCAGAAATAAAATTTTACTTTACATAACCACTAAAATAAAATGGAAATATTATTAAGATTTATGTAATGATACAACATCACCTTTCTTTTCAAGTTTTCTAATAGTCTCCTCTGATTCATTTTGTTTCTTTTTGTATAAAGTTTTCAATTCATCTATTTCACTGTTCTTTCTTTCTAAAATCTGCAAAGGAATTGAAAATGTTTTAGTATATATTATGTTGTTTGACATCCAGAGCACATAATTTTTTAAATGAGCACAATGTTTTTTTGCAAGTCTATCTCAGTTAATCCCATAAAAGATGTAAAAATTATTTTAGTGCATTGAGAAAATAGTAAATATGCTAGAATAAGTGATTACTGAAAGAGATATGCTCTCTGCTTTGAATTTTCATGTATCAATCTTTAAGGAGACTATAAATAATAAATTAGGTGATTCTCTAAAATATAACTCAGAGATTAAACTGTCACAAAGTAGCAGGGAGAAGCCATCAAAACTTGACACGTTGGCATGGTACAATTCACCTCCCCTCCGCACTGGAATGGAGCATCTTCAGATGAGCATATCTCTGAGTCTTCCCACTAGTGTCCTATCATTTTCATGCACAATAAGAACCCCCAGATACATGGGGAGATGAGAGGTAATAAGCTTCTTTTATATCCAGCTCTGCTATTATGAATCAGAAAAATCATCTCAAAATATGTCAAAATTGCATGAACATTTTACATCATGAATTTATATCATGTCAGAAGTTTTAAAATTAATCATTTAATAAAATTTAATCAGGATTGGTATATACTTCCAAAATACATCTACACTCAAAATAACCCCAAAACCCTAGAGAGATAATAGAACTGTAAGAAAATTAACAAGCCGGGATAAAAAGGGTACTAACCAAATGGGGGGAAACTGAGGCAGGAGTATAAATACCCACTTTTTTCCTATGGTTTGGATATATTTCCTACACACCCAAAGTTGGCTACAAAAGGGGGGTTATTCACCAATGTCTAACCGACTTTTTCTTAGTGCTTTTATTGCCAGCATTTCACTTTACCTCTCATTGTTTTAGTCCCACCTATAGGAGTGGATGGTAAATAAGAAAAGGGACTCGTCTGATCCTAACATCCGTATAGAAGCAAAGAAAGAAAAAGAGCGTAGGCAGAGGGATAAAACCCTCTCAACTGTGTTCCCCCCAATTCCCGGCACTAAGGAAATGCCACACAAGTGACCAACCAAGGGATACACTCTCCAAATCTGGTATAAAGTCGAGGACTATGTTTATCTTTTCCCTGGCATTTCAAACTAGCTGCACTGCTTCCCCTTTTCACACCACGTTTATTTAAAAAGAGAAAACCCTGGAAAGGATTTTCTTACTAAAAGCTTCCCTTAGAACAGACCTGTGTAACAGACACACCAAGAGGCAGATTTCAAACCATTACAGCGATTTTCCAAATATACTTTACATTCCTTTATGTGATACATCGATAGGTTCTGTTTCACTTGAACATGTTATGAATGTTCATGGGAAGAGGCAAGGAAGAGAAAAGGGATTAAATACTTTTTCTTTCTAATTTTCAGTCAGTGGGTTCCACCTTGTTGCTTTGAAAGATGAGCCAAATATGCACCTAAATATTAACGTATTTTAGCTTTTAAGAAAGAAAGCTCAGCTATGTGATGCTCTGGCGTCAACTCCTGGCCTCTACCCCTGTCACTTAGTTTTGTGGAGCAGAACCACAAGCTTACTTTTCTGAAACAGTAAATGCCAAGTTGCTATTTGGAGATAAACACACACACACACACACCTCTCACTAATTTTTAAGAATCATTACTAAAATGTAGTTTTGATTCAAATTCCATGGAGGATAACCATAAGTTATTTTTGCTGTGCCCATTAAGAAGAAAAGTTAATTTTATTTAAAAATACAGGTTGAAACATTGGAAGGCATAAATATCAATGAGATAATAAAAAAAGAAGCCCACATAGTCAGTGCTGGCACCGGTCTATACCCAACGGAACTAGTCTAAGAGTTCCTTTTCAGGTTAAAAGGGAAATTTTAATTGCCAGAAAATGGAAAAAATATTAGGCCAAAACAAACTCTGGTATTTACAGTTGAACCAAAAAGTAATGTAAACTATAAGAATTTACATAAACACATATGTTCAGCAAATAAAGTTTAATGATCAACTTTTGTTGGAATATTAATTTAGTAAATTACATTTATAACAGACTATCATAAGTATGTAAATAAGTGAATGAACAGATGGATGAGAGGGTGGGTGGATGGATGGATGGAAGGACAGTGGGTAGATGGACAAATGGGTG